TGATGCCGATATTTGAAAAATGCCAAATATCGGGCGATATATCGGTCGACCACTAATCTGTGCTAATAATAAAGATGTTTCTAATCGATATTCTTTGTTTGCAGAGAAGCACACAAAAGGGAGGAAAGGTTTCAGGAACGTGTGGAAGGCTGTAAAAAGCCACTTCCAAACCCTCAAAACCAAAGTGTGTCCTCGTGTGCCTGACCGGGAGCCATCGCAGGAGCATCCACAAACATCCAGAGCAGAACCGACAGCAGACACAGATCCGCTCGAGTCCCAGACAACAGATCGTGAGTCTCCAGTTATTACTGCTCTGATTCATTCAGTCTGTTTCTGGTTTTATTACAAAGCGCTGCTGCTGGATTTCAGTCTCATGCTGTACATTAACATGTTGTTGTGTTTTTCAGAATGCCTGATCCTTTCTAATAGACTGAGACGGGAATTTGCATCTCCACACTTTGGCTTTCCTTATGAAGCGAGACCTCAACATGAAGCAGAGTACTTCTGCTCTCTCTATGAAGTGGGAGAAGAAGTGGGATCGGGAGACTATGTAGTCGGTGTCTATGAAGGAATTAGAAGATCGGATGGCCAGAGGGTATGTTGCTCTTTCTGCATAATCAAACTTTTTGCCTCTTGTTTCTTTCTGTGAACTTTGAGTCCAGACATAAACATCAGTGTTTACAGTAGGGATGTTCATTTTAACCGTTTAACCGACGGTAAGAATTTTGACAGATTAATACAATCAGTTAAACGGTTTAAAAAGTAATTTAATTATTTGTTTTTTCAGTAATTTATCAAAATATTTAAAACGGTTTGCTGCATGGTTAAAATACGCTACGCGTATAAAAAATGTGTGTAGAATAAGTCGCATTTTATTATTTCAGAAATAGGGCTAATGCTGACGTGAAATGTTTACAAACATTATAATAAACACTAAACATAGCTAGGCTATTTTAGTTCCCCTCACTCCACAACAAATCCTTTCAATTAACAGTATTTAGAAAAGAACAAGAATTAAAAATATAAGAAGCTCTAGCAATATAAATGACGAGCCAAAATGAAAACGAAACTGAAGCCAACGTTGGGTCTCTCATGCGACACAAAATCAAATGTTTTCGTATTCGCGACGTATTTGAATGCCAAAATATAATTTATTATGTAGCCTAGCCTAATTCACTCGTGTTCCAATATCCACGTAAAACAAAATGTTTTGCATAACATCACGGCGGTACAGCGATAACGCTTAACCTTAACGGCTTAACAGATTTTTCTACATATTTTTTACTACATAGTTTTTTCCCATATGTTTGACTGACTGTATTTTATTATGATAATGAACAGGCTGCATTGTCAAGGTAGCAATG